TTGGGGCATTTTCTTTTACATTAGGACATTATTTCTCCTTTAAAAAATGCATGCTTCTACCTTTCTAGTGTTAAAAACACTCAGTGTAATCTGTGTGGTGTATTTTATTGTTGACTCTAGTTAAAAGACATTCTCCTCTGTTCAATGAGGATTTCCCTGTGGGACTGTCACTGTCCTCATCTGCAGAAACTCTGCAATAGACATGCCTTTTCTCAACTATCTGCCCTACCTTTTACCTTTTTCTTTGTGGTTTTGAGGAATTCTGGGTGAGGTGTTCTCTGAATTCCTACATGAAACTTAATTTGGAGTTTTTTCTTTCTTTGTAATACTTATGTACTAGGGGTGGAGTCAGCGCCTCAAACCTCACACATTAGGTAAGTGACTGGTTACTGAGCTATCCCTATCCCAGATAGGCTTTAGTCTCTCAAGTGGCTATAACCAAGGATTGTGCAGACAGGCCCAGCTCAAAATTGAATTTGAAATGTTTACTTCTTAGTAAATGGTAATGAGGTTTTAACAGGCATGACTAGCAGCATTATTAATAAAACATAATTTTCCTCTACACTGAAATCCACTAAATACTCATTTCACTTTCAGACGTTGGTTGCAAGTAAACACTCTTCAGTGGGAACAGTGGGGATCTTGGGAAGATGGGCACTCTATGACTACCATGTGCTCCAGTGCATAAGGATAGGATGGCCATGTCAGAAAGACACAAGTGTCAACTTTTAAGTGCTGTTGCCAGGGTAGTATTGCATTGTAACCTGTGTATAAGGTAAATAGATGTACATTCACATATTCATAAGTGATTGGAATACGAAAATTCACATATAACACCATCAGAAAAGTGCTCCTGCTCATCAGTGTGTGCCCTAAACCATTAATTCCAAATACAATGAGAAATTACTTCAGAGAAAGCTAACACAATCACTCATGCAATGGCTCTCATGCACTTCATGAGATGAGAAAATGACAAATCAAGACTGAGGATTATTCTAGATACAAGACCAAGGTCCCAAAAAAACCAGAAACTGTCACAAGTCAGAAGAGAACTAAATGTTTACTAAATTAGTGAAGTCTGAAGCTTAACAATACAGGTTTCTTAGACATTAATGTGTTTTATAGGGAAAACCTGTGAGTGCATAGGAAAGTCTACTGTCTTTGCGACCTTTCTTTGAGCTTGGAGTCTCCCATTATCTTCATATTCAGTTTCAATGTTTGTATTTCTAAGGTGGGTACTAACATCCAATACAGAAGTCCAGAAATATTAATCATATGTAGCTCATATTTTTACACAAGCACACACAACTGTCAGCCATCTAGATTGACATACAGTTCTGACTAAACAAGAGAATGTTTGACCTCAATCACTAAGCACTGCCTTGATTACTTAAGTAATCATTTTGATTTCTGCTGGTGTAGCTAAAATCAAAGTCCTTATATATGGTCTAAACACAACTCTGCAAAATCAGTTGGGTGAAAGGTGCTTCTGGGACATGCACATTGGGGATTACCCTGATATATTAACTGGGTGGGACAATTAGCTGAAGCAGAAATTACTGGACTGTGACAGAGGGAATGGAGCAGCAGTGTGCACTGTGGCTGTCTGCTGATTCTCAGTGTTACCAGCTGCTTTGCCTATAAATTGAACTGAGCCCAGCTAACCCATCATTTAAAGCTATTGTGCAGGTATTTTATCACAAGGACAGTTTATAGTCCTAAATATGTACTTGAAATGGCATGTAGATCCTTTTGCAGTGTTCTTTGGTAACTTGGGCCAGAGCAGGTGGTCAGTTTTCAAGTCTTGCTATTTTTCTACTTAATCACATCAGTTATGACAAGAAACCTGAACTTATCACCTTTGCAGCTCATTTTTGCTTTATATTCTCAAGATAAATACATGCAGTAATGAAAGGGTTTTCAACCCCTTGATCTTAAATCATTAGTCACAGTTTTCAAATACACCTCAGAGGCAAACTCATTTTTCCCCTCATATTGTTTACTCTTAATTTAGAACCTGTTTCCACTTAGTTTAAGCAAACAGGACTATCTTTAACGAGGGTGTTTGTTTGGCTTTAGTAAGAATACTTTCCAGTGGAGTATGCAATGACATCTTTCCCTTTCTCAGACTCACTTTTAGTTCCATCCATTTAGAAGCTGCTTTAGGGCTCGGTGTATAAATTACTTACCTTCAAGTGCAGAATACTGAACAGTACAACCATTTTGCACACGTACATTTCAGCTTCTCCCTTCTTCAACAGCAGAGTTACATGTGACTAATACATACAAGCCCCACCACAGATTATGCTTGTAAACATTAAATATATTCACAAAGATCTTGTCCTATGCCATTAAAACTAAATGACAAAAGCACATGTAATAGGCTTTGCTCATAGAAATAGTGAATTCTTTTAGCTCTTTAATATTGGTACACCTATACTCCTGATTTGTACTTTTATGTTGGCACACCTGGCTTGCCATTCATCACGACTTAATCTTCCATCTACTTTCTTTTCAGTGGCAAAGAGAAACATAAGACAATCTGAAGGAAAGCTGGATGATATAAAGCCATCTAAGGAGCAAAATAAGTAACAAGTGTGGGCAAATGAAGATATGACCAAATGAAAAAACAAGTATTAGGAAGAATTCCACACAGGTCTAGAGAACATCTCCAAGAGATGGATTTTGCATTTCCCATTCCTTTACTGGTGGAAATACTTAGTATTACTTATGAAGAATGTTAAGGATCAAATTGTTTTACTGTTGGGTTTCACTCTTGACAAGACACTGAAGTACTTACATAACATAAAAGCAGACCTGGCCTCCAGGATCTCTGACCATCCCTTAGTCCTTACCAGCCACAGGGGAAGGCCGAGATATCCTACCCTCTGTCCTGAACTTTTATGCCCCGGGCTGGGCTTCCCCTCACCCAGCTCTTCACTATATAATCCAGATATTTTCTCTGTCACCCCTTAGCTCCTGCTTTTGTCTCCCTGGTAACTTTCCTGAAAGACGTTCCCCCCCAACACCCCATCCCCGTGCTGTCCCCAATAAACCCGACTTTATACTTTCGTTGGACTTGAATTCGCTTATTTTATCATCAGAGAAAAACCCAGTTAACTTTCCCGGAATGTCATACATAGTAAGCTTCATAGATCAATAGGGTGCTTCTCCTCTGTGGCCGTCTTTGCAAACCACAGCTCTAGTTCACAGGGAGAAAAACAAACCTAATCCAGTGGGCATGAAATAGGCATGTGTGGTGGTTTGAATAAAAATGGCACCCACAGACTCAAAGAAGTGGCATTACTGGAGCTGTGGCCCTGTAGGAGTCACTGGGGGTGGGTGTTGAGGTTTCCATGCTCAGGAGAGGCAGTATTCTCTCGTCCTGCTGCCTGTTGATACAGATGTACAAGTCTTGGCTTCTTCTCCAACACTATGTCTGTGTGCTGTCAAGCTTCCCACCATAATGGAGTAAACCTGTAAACCAGCCCCAATTAAATGGTCTCCTTTCTAAGAGTTGCTGTGGTCATGGTATCTTCACAGCAATAAAAACCCTAAGACAGTATGACCTAGGCAGAATCCTTCAAGAGTGTCAAGTTAACAAAGACAAAGAAAGAATGACAAACTATCAGAGTAGAGATAAATAAATTATTATAATTAGCGTATCTAAGAAAAACTGAGAAAGATTAGGTTCCTGGCCTCCCTCCTTCTGACAAAATGTGACCTGGAAGTGTAAGATGGAGTAAAGTTCTTTATCCTCTGAACTGCTTTTGTGCATAATGTTTTATCACAGCAAGAGAGACCAACAGGGACTAGAATGGGGAGCCATTTTCTTCAGTGGTTTAGCTGCTGGTAGACTGCCCATGCTCATGCAGGCAGCATATACTGGACTCTGTGGGATAAAGAAAGGATATGAAGGCAGGAGGGACTCATGTTAGTGGTTTCCCAAGGGACTTGTACATGGACATGATCAAGATCCTTACATGCATGTATGAATACTGCGGGTGGAGGGAATACAAACAACAAAAGACAAAACCAGAATATAACTAGTATACCAGAACTGATTTCTTGGTTCTAACAACATGGATTCACAATGTTAACATATATTAGAGTTTATGTATAATCTTTGCAACTTTTGTATAAACAGCTATCCTAAAAGTGCTCACTCACAACTTCTTCATCAAGTTATGCCTAACAAATATTTGAACTAGGTCACCAACTGTAGAAGTTGATTTGGTTTTTATAAGACATATTACTGAAATCTGTCATAATACTGGGATCTTCTGGTTCCTGCAAACAAGTTTTTTACTGCATTGTGCTTTAACCTTCCATGACTGTGTAGTCTGCCTGGTGATATGGTTCAGTGTGTAAAAGAACTGGCCACCCAACAATGTAAGACTGATGACCTGGAACCACAATAAAGGTGGAGAGAAGGACTCAAAGCTAATCTTTGCCCTCCACTTCCATACTTGGTAAGTGTACACTAACCCCAACATCATATACAATAATAACAAATAAAAAAAAAAAAAAACAAGTGTTTTCTATTTTTAGAAATAATACAACTTCCAGGTCAAGAAAACCATGATGACACTCTCTCTTAAAAATATATTAACACCCAAGTCAAAAAGGGCAGACAGTAGAGCCCTCCTTAGACCCTACCAGGATCTACAACAGTGGTCCTGGACACCAGACAGCAGCTTTGTATGGACAGTTGTTCTGCCCAGCGGAATCCTAAGAAACCACTGAATGACAATCAGTATCAGCTCCTGAGCAATTTTAGGGGCATACTCCATAGTCTAACTGACCCCAGGGAGTGAGGTATGTAATGTCCTGGTAGCAAGCATATACAAATGAAAAGTGCAAGTACCCCAAGTTGTTGTCACTTTGTTATGTCTGAAAGTGCACGATACAGTGAACAGTAAAACAGAATTATGAACTTAGAACATTCCATCAGAACTTAAAAACTTTCTATTTTATTTCTAATAAACAACACCTGATGCTTGACTCACAGATTTTATTTACATTTGTCTACAGTATCATTTCCTTATGAAATGAACTAGTACAGCTCAATTAAACCAAATCAAATCATAATCATCTGAACTGTTTGTAAACTGTTAGCTAAATTTATAATCTTGTATTTGCCTAGTACAGCCCAAGTTTTAAATACAGAAAGCACAAGAACAAACCAAGGTTAACAGGTCGGATCTAGAAGATCTGGGCAACTCAGAAAATCGACTTTCAAGAAGTCTGAGGCACAATTACAAGAGAGTAAGAGTTCATGTGCAACCTACAGTAAATGCAGCAAGGAAAATAAGACAAAAAAACACAGGAAAGCTTGTAAAAATATTACCAAAATACTTCTACGTACAATATTTTGTTTTCATCTTTAGATCAGTTGAGGAGAAAAACACTCTAAAATAAAAACATTTTTTGTTTGATCTGTCTACTATACATCTTAGAATGCTTTATTTAAACTGCAGCAGACAAATACTAAAGGGGAGAAACAGGAAAAGTAATTCCCTAACAAGGAGCCCAGCACAACTGTCAGTCCCTTAGATACTTACCTTGCTTTGCTGCTGAAGAGACTGTTAAGAGAAACGTTTTAACTTTTAAACTAGAGAACAAAATGGATCTCAAGCGACCAGATTTTAATTTGAGAAATAAAACTCTGAAAGCATTTTAAGCCATATGTTTTTTTTCCAGGTGAGGAGAAAAATGATTTTGCTTAAATCATGCAGATATAAAAAATTCTTGTTAGATATCTACAGTGTTGAAAAATGAGACATCTCAAGGCAAATGTTCACTTAAATTCATGTCTCTATCAGCCTGTCACTGAAAACAGCCTTCAAAAGCTTTCTTCAATTTGCTCATTAACTATGATTTATCCTTTTTTAAACCTTTATTAATTAAATACAACATTTAGTAACTAGATTTAAAGGATATCCACATTTCTTAAACGTCTATCTCAGAGGCATTTTGCAATAAGATGTGGATAATCTTTCCCATCTGCAATTGCTAAGATCCTCTTGCATTAAAAGTGGTGTACAGCTGATAGGAGAGACAATGATTCTAAGGCACCCTCAGCACAGAGAATTTAAAGTTCTCAGTTGTCAGCTTTGCAACGTAGTTAACTTCTGGTGAGAAATTACTGGCCCAGGTAAACAACATAACCAGGTTGACTACTACTCCCATACGAACATGAATTGGTTGTTCCAACTAGTTTATTACTCTTGCCTATGTGTCTGAAGTTCAGGCAAGCCCAGGGCAACCCCATCTTTGTCAATAGCACATTTAGGAATGAAAAGGGTAAGGATTTAAATTAGGAAACAAAGTACTCTGTAGCTATGATGGTTTTAAACGAAGCAGATGTTTGTAAATAATGAACAGAACATTCAGCTGGGGAACAGTATGGCTTAAAATGCAATTTACTTTCAATTTCACAAATAAACAGTTGTATTGTTTTGAAAATCAATAAAGGCATGCACCTCTACTAGCAGATGTAGCACTTCTGACCAAATGAGACATCAACTTCCTAAAAAATATGCTTCATGCACTGTACTCAATGTTCTGTAAAGATGTAAATTTTAATACATTATTTCTTTTTTGAACTTGAACGGGAACCAGAATGGGTTGATCCGGAAGACGACCTGTGGTGCCTGTAAGACATAAGAGAGCAGCACAATCTGTCAATAGCACTAAGCTAAGCTTCTGTTTCTAAGACTGCAAACACCAAAAAGAGCAGAGGAAACACTAGGTACCTTGATGCTCGAAGGAGTAATTAAAACCTAAAATAGCTTACATACACTTTTGAATGTGAGCCCAGAATTGGTGTGACTTTAACTCAAAACTCTACAATTGAAGAATAGACACTCATTTCAAATATAGCCACCTCTCAATTATTCAAGATAATGAAGGAAAAGCCTTGAAAAAAAAAAAAAAAAAAAAAAAAAAAAAGCCCATACTGATATACACGTACAAGGTAGGTGTGTGATAAAATCCATGTCAGCTGTACCACAGAGAGCACACCAGGTCTAACACAGCATGGCTTCTGAGTGCATGAGAAAGTACATTCAAAGCAATGACGTTCTGGAAGTCTAGTTCACAGAAGGTGACTGTACAGTTAGCTAAAGTGCTAGAGTCATGCAGCCAATATGAGTAAGTCAGTATCAACCTGGGCAAAGTGGAGGTGTTCCGTAGGGGTTGGCCCTGGGCTCAGGGTTGTTTAGTACTTTCACCAATCACCTGGCTTATGGAATAAAGAACATGTGCATTAAGTTTAGATGACAGCAAACTAGGGGATTCTATGTGTCTAAGATAAAAATTTGCAGAAGTGGGTAAGAAGGCAACAGAATGAATCTCACTCAGTACAGAGTAATTTTCTTATAAACAATGCAGGGAAAAAAAGACTGGGTATAATCTTGAACTTCAGGTGTGAAGGACATCTAATTCTGCGGGAGTAGCAATGACATGATCCTACCCTCTGAACCCAGCCGTCACCAGTCTCTAACGATCATTCTTTTCTTTCACAAGCTGAGAGGATATGGAAAAGTTGCCAAGATTACAAACGAAGCCACAAATCATAATTAATACATTAAGAACCAAGAGATAATTAGTGAAACCAAGTAATCAAGTTTGTTGCAGAAAAGGCTGACACATGACTAGTGCACTCTAGACACAAGGACCCAGGGAGGGTCCTTTTCAAAAGGGAAAAATGGATCTGGACTGTAAGATAAAAAAGTACTGACTACAAGGCTAACCTCCATGTGAAGGGCATAAAGTAACTTGCTATGGTAACACATGTGTACGTACTTAAACAAGGACAGACCCCAGTGGCGTTGCAAGTTAATCCTGATCAAGTATCCTATCATTTCTAATATTTAATTATTAAAAAAACACATGTAAATTATTTCAACATACAGCTTTTGGGTTTCAATATTTAAAAACACAAAAATAACCGAGAGTTGGCTATAATAATATACATGGAAATAAAATTCAAACAATAAAATAACCAGAGAATAGTCTGTCCTGTAACTTTTTCTAAAGTTAATAAGCAAGCTAAACAAAGTAACCTGAATTCTGACGTTTAAAGATGAAAGGTAAAATTTAAAGAACAAAGTAGAAAGAAATCTAGCCCTCGCCTAGAAAGTCCACCTATTATATATGTAAGAACACCCATTCTTATTCTACAGAAACCCAAACCTTTCGGGTGACCGTGATCTCGTTCGTCTTTTTTTGCGAACAGCAGGTGAAGAAGGCCGAGAGCGACTCCTCTTCCTGTCTCTCTCGGGAGATGATGAAGAGCTCGAGTAAGATCTTTTTCTTGGGGAGGAAGAGCCCCTGTGGGACCTGGAGCTGGATCTTCATTGATTGAGAGACAAAGCAGACGCTTCATTAAGGGCAGAAGTGGAGTGTGCTCAGTTCCCAAAAGCAACAGGACTGTGACTACAAAGATCTTGTAAGAGGGAATACTTACTGCTTACTCAGCAGAAGGCTTCTGGTCAAGCATGAACATGTTCTATCTATGCACAACAATTTTAATTTCATCTTTAAAACATTCTAAATATCCCTTGGCAATTAAAAAGCAACTTACTGAATTAAGACAGAATATTTTTATAACCGCTTATAGCTTTCCAATTTAAAGTTCATAAGTAGTGAAATCAAGAGGTAACTTCAATTTTGTGACGTTGCAGTCACAGAGAAACAGAAAATTTGCCTCTTCTGTTTGTGGGGCAGATCCATGTTACAGAAAGTTTGCTGAGGACAATGATGACAACTTCTTACAGGTAAGGTGCTACAGAGAACTGAAGGACACAGCCCAGACAGAACAGTAAACTGCAAAGCCTGGCAGCTTTAAAACTTGACTTGTGCTTAGATCTGTGCCTTGAAGTATGAAGTGGCCACGTTCACGTGTTTTAGGTGGAAGTAAATGTGCAATTTAAAATGAAAATTTATCTTCAGCTACGGATTTTGGTTGAAGGAATTTAGCTCAAACTTCCCAAAAAATTCACCTTTGGGCTTAAAACAAAATGAGAAAGCCCAAAAGGAGAATTCTTTGGAAAGTTGCAAGCAATTACAATGTTTGGGAAGGATATGAAGGCTGTTCTGTATACTCAGTACCACAGTTCCCGAAGGGAGCACACTGAGATTCAAGGGCTGGAAGTGAGCACCAGCGTGGTAATAACACACATGAGCACCTTTGCACTGCTGTGCACTGGCTCAGCGAGCGCACCACCACTCTTCTCAGTGCGACTCAACGGGATCTACCCTCAACTGCTAGAATGGGCTCAACTAAGTGAGCCTTTCTCCAGGAGAGCGGCTCGGAAACGTCAGTGTGAGCCCACAGTGAGATTTTAGAGGCTTTCGTATTAATGCTGCACGCCTGTGGTAGACAACAATACAATGACGTAACAGAAAGGCAGCATATTCTGATAAAGTACAGAGTTTTCCAAGAAAGTAAAAAGCTAGTGTTTCAGTTGCTTCTTTAACAATCACTCTCCTTTGATATTTGGCTAAACACAACCATGTTCACAGCATGGATTATATTAAACCCTAGCTGATCTAACATCCTACTTGACTTAGTTTTAGGAGGAACGTTTGTTACACGGATAACTTGAAATATTCTTTAAAGTCAATGAAATTGATTAAACACACACAGCACTCCATAGAAACTCTAGATAAAATCCACCAAGCTACTTCTGTAAGCATTTGCTTGAAAACAAAATCTACTTTGAAGATGTATAACGGACTGTTTGGTCTTCCTTTCAGCAGTGACTTTTCACTTGCGTATCATATTTAAATTAACAACTGAAATCATAGTATCAATATACTAGCTATCTGAAGCACAAGTTGGCTTCACCTTCCTACATCACACATCTTAGCTATGGATACAAAGCTGCCCCTTTTATTCAACCATGGAAATGTCTTGGCACACTACACAATGGAAACATTTTGTGGTGAGTTTCAGCTGAGGCAAGTATATTAGTTTCCTAGTGCTAATGAAACTGACAAACAGAAGCAGAGTCATGAGGGAAAGCAGCGGTGCCTTCTGAAGCCTGTAAGTACTTTCCTCTCTGCTTTACAGAGAGGTGCTACCTCATTCACCTTGATTTCGAACCACGGGATCTGGAATGTTCTCTGGAGCCGGAGTGAGACCTTGACTGGGAGCTGGAAGAGCTTCTTGAACGGGACCTGGAACAACACGGAAGCATTTTTTTCCCCTAGGACCACATTTGTGAACTTTGTGATATGAACACTGAAAGAAAGACATATATTAAGAGTGCACTTTTCACATAAAAAGGGCCTCTGCAAGATACACATTTTCTAAGCAAAAATACTCAAAGCTTCTTATTGTAATAAAAATTAAGTTAAAAATACTCAGTGACCATTTTCGAAGCCTGATTAAATTACCAATTGCCCCCAGATTGTAAGCTACAAGCACCACCAATTATTAGACAATGTTACAGTTTACACTTAAATTCTCCATAGTGCCTTATTATTTTCATCTGAAAACTCCTGTTTCCAGTGTCTATTAGGCAGAAAGTCCTAACTGCTGCATCTTTTGATGTTCACTCTTCACTTGCTTGTCTGAGACAATTAAAGATATAACAACCAGGGCTCCACATTAATCACATTGCTGATACACTGTGGAGCCAAGAGAAATAGAACACTTATACTCTGAAAACCACAAATGACATCTCTGACATAATCTTTACTTTGTTCTCACAGAGAGAGAGACACACACTTTTATCTCAGAATTAAGGGTTTTTTTTTTTGTTTTTTTGTTTTTTTTAAGCGATGGAGGAGAGGACTAGGTATTGAGCCTAGGCTCCATACATGCTAGACAAACTTCTATCACTGAGGTATATTCCCCAGCCCTCAAAATTACTCTAAAAGTAGTAATTTTAGGCTTTACAGTTCTAATATAATAGCTGGCAATACATTTTATTTTTAAATACGATTAAAACAATTGGTCATTAATTCTGAGCTGTATGAAGCATTATTTACTTTTGATCATGTTATCAAACACACGTTCACAACAACTGAATATCCTGGACTCTTTAGATGCATAAGCATCCACGGCTGGATTTCTTCCTTTATTCAGAAGACTGATACCAAAATAAATTATCAAAAATTGTGCAAATATCATTAATGCCCAGAAAAATGTAAGAGCTAATCCTCTAAACAAATAAATAAGTCTTTACTCGACAACATCTGATCATACACTACCTACTTAGACATACATCCTTACACAGTACTTTTATACATAAGTTACTCTAGTCTAAGCCAAGAGGATGACACAGAACAAGCAACTTCTAAGGTGTAGAATTTCTGAAAATACAGGGCAGTATCTGTAGGACACAAAGACAAAGTCTAGCTAACATAACTTGATTGAAATATTTGAAATAAAAAGCTTATTTAAGTTAAGTAGTAAAATAAGATTTATAAGTAAAAAGTTAGATACTGACATTTTGACTGGTGTTACCCTTCGCCTGTACCCGTTTACCTGGACCTGGACCTTGAACTTGAGGGGGAGGATGAACGTGATGAAGATCTTGAGTGAGATGACCGAGACTTTGAACGACTCCGTCTATTGGTTTTCTTTTTGTTACTATCTTCTTCTTCACTGGCATCAAGATTATATTTTGAGAGATCAGCATCATCTTCATCCTCGTCCTATAAAATTTTAATCCTATTTAGACATTTATATATTAACAATACTCAACAAAAAGGATAGGAACATTTTTCAGATGGATCTGTTACCAAATATTTAAAGGCAAGCTTATTTTCAATTTGGGAGTTCACCCACCAAAGTCATCTGACAGAACAGACTTGTGAACTGTGTGGACTGTCCACATAGGATCCTAGGAGCTATCCCACTGGTTCTCGTAACATACACCAAACTAACAACAACAATTTTCAGTTCTGTCCAGACTCCTTGGTCCACTATGACCAGCCTTGTTTAGAATACTGTTTTCTCTATATTACAGTAACGTTTGTGTGTTTCTGACAGTTAATGCCTTAGTGTGCTGACATAACATTGAAGAATAGGCACCTAGCTCCTGCATGAGCTTGAGGGTTAAAAACACGTAAGGAAGAGGTAAATACACCATTTGTTTCTTAAAACATTCACTTTCCAGGCCCGGAGAGCATCTCCACCGAGTAAAAGCTGTCCTCCTCATTCCCAAGCCCTGGTGAGACAGTAGAATATGGCCTCCCTTCTCCTCACCTGGTGGAGATGTATGGCCACCAATGCTTCAGCTGTCAAAAGCACCTTGTGCTTCAGAATAGTGACAGTAAGAAAAAGAGGAGCAAGAACAGGAGATATTACCTCATCCAGCTTATATTTAGACAGATCTTCATCCTCATCCTCTTCTTCTCCCTCTGATTCTTTATCTTCGACTTCCTTTAATATAGACGCAGGACCAACTGCCTTTCCCCTGTATTTTTTCTTTTTACGTCCAAACTAGAAAAAAAAAAAAATTCAATATTTCCTTAGGCTGAAAACACGAGTTATTTTATTTTCAAAACCTACTCGGATCCATGTAGAAAGGTAGCATGGAAATCTTTGCCTGTATTCCCTGTACTTGCAAGTGGAGATGGAGGATCCCCCATTGGTCAGCCAGTCCAGCCAATGGTTAAATTATAGCTTCAACAAGACCCCATCTCCTAAAATAAGACAACCAGTATCAACTATAGCCTCTAGAGATGCACAAAGGCATACATACTCCCTCTTCTATAAGCATACACACACATTCACAGTTGTTTTGACTCTAGGTATTTATTAAATTTCTCTAACTTAAAATTTAGTCTGCCCACACCCACTGAGAGCTTACCTCATCATATTCCCCATCAGATTCTTCTCTTTCTATATATTCAACATTTTCTCTTTCATTAAAACCACCTCCATATCCTTTAAAGAGAGGGCATAAATTGCTGTAACAACTCAAGTAACAAAATTATTATGCTCACTTTTCCTAGCTAACAGAAAATGAAAATCTAATCAATGATGGTTATTTATTACTAGTTTTTTACGAGTTAAAAATCATGATAGAGAATAAGTCAGATCTATTTTAGCTGCACAGTTATAGCAGTACTTACAAATCTTTATAACTCAAAACTTTTCCATAAGTCATTTATGAAATATATATGCAAAACATCTTTATCTTCTGCTATGACAAAGTTTTAAAGGGAATTTCCTCTCCATTATAATTCTTCAAAATCTGGGCTTATTAGAACCATAGGTTAAACTTATATTTTATATCAGATAACACAAAATTGAAGGTAGAGTTGAAATGAACAAAGAGCCAGGAAGCAGCAAACCAAGGGGCACATCCTGATATGGGCAGCATTAATGACAGACACACTCTTCAAAAAGTGAGGTCTTAGGAGAAAATTACAAATTCAGTTAGGATATAATGAATCCCACAATTACACGACACTGTAAGATAAGGAGCTCTATATAGGTAGTTCAAAGAAATCTGATCTGGAGATACAAGTTTGGGTAATATAGTATATCTACTGATACTTTAAAACTTTGGTTTTAGAAGAAATTATACAGAAAACAAAAAGGAGAGAGGGACCGAGGAAGGTCCTTGAAGAATCCGAATACTTAGTGGAGATGAAGTCCAGACTAATCCAGGGAGAAACACAGAGCACCGAGGGAGGAGGTGGTGACAGGGCGGCACTTGCAGAAAGCGAAGGTGTAGTTGAGAGTTAGAGCTGTAATCCAAGGGATGGAAAAGAACATCCAGGATGGTAGGTAATAAGGCTCTCACACATCAAGAATTAAAAAAAAAAAAAATAAGCAGGTAGACAGGAGGGAGGGGAAGGAAGCCTGGTAGGACTTGATCTAAAAGGTCTCCCTACCTCTAGGTCTCTGATCTCCAGAAATCAAACAGGGACAGTGCTGTGCACTCAGGGAAAAAAGGCAAACAAGAAAAGCAGCTTTACCAACTCAGGAGCCTCACATGCATGTTGAGTATGTGCACTGTCTGTTACATAATCACATTTCAACAAGATAATGGTTTGGTTAATTGCTGGCAATGGTAAAACCATATTCTGCCATAGGCTCACCATCGACAGAAACCACAGTGATCACTTAAGTCAACAATTACCAAATACCATCCACACAATTACTAGAGTTTGGGACCCACTCCCAAGGAAGCCCAAGAGCTGATAGAGTATCAAGAGTTTACAGACAATATGATACTCTCATGAGAAGCACGGCATACTTTAATCACAGGACATGGAACAATCAAGCTGGTATCTGGAAGCTTTATCCTTCCTACCTAATTTCATAGTGCTAGAAGATTCTAGGCATAATACCAAGGGAAGAAAAGTAATCAAAGTCTTGACTAAGCTGCAAACCCTGCTGGTAATAAGGAGAGGCCTTTCCAGATATGCCAAAGCTGTTATGGAAATAACTAACCATGTTTTGATTGGACTTACAGCTCTCTCCAGAAGACAGACTCAAAGATGGGATTAACAGGGGAAAAATTCATGGCTGAGTAAGCACAGGCTCTGGGGGAGCCCAATACAATGGGCCGGTAAACAGACACAGGTAAGGAGCACACACTGCCTGTGTTCTTTTTGTTTGTTTGCTTGTTTGTAGACACAGAGTTTCTCTGTGCAGCCTTGGCTGTCCTGGACTCTCTCTGTAGTCTAGGCTGGCCTCCTCTACCTCCCAGAGTGCTGGGATTACAGTTGTTTGCCACTAGGCCTGGCACCGACCGTGATCTTACCTTTATACCCATCTCTTAACCATCACTAGAGAAGCCTCTTTTGTAATAGATGAATACAGAAGTTGACAGTCAATGTGCAAGAATGTGTGAAGTGCTCAGCTCTGAGTGGCAGGCACATCTATACCACAACCTTTCCTAAGACTCAGTGACCATCAAAAGGGGATTGAAAGACTGTTAGAGACATCGGGAGTGGAATACACTGTGGTAAAATGGTTATTTGCTGTACTGCACAGATAGCATGGGAACTCACAATGGCTGTGGACTGTGTGCACAATACTCTCAAAAGATCAAGCTGCCAAAGTCCCAGCATGGGGGGAGGGGGGGGCAGCAGCAACTCATGAAGTCCCATCCAAGCTGGGATGTTCTTCCTGTAATCTGCATGCCCACGGATGCTACCCCACAATCTAGTACACAGATGATCCCATACACATACAGCCACCACTAACTGTACTCGGTAGTTTAAAGAGGTTGAAAGGGAACATGATGAAGCTGTAGGTAAGGGAACATCTGTCCTGTGAATTTGATCAAAACACACATTCACATATACAGTTCTTGAACAGTAAAAAGAAAATGCAAACGAAACAACAGCAAAAGAATTACAGTTTTATGCTTTGTAGTTTGTAGTTTCTCTGATAATTCTAAAATGTGGCTAACGTTAAGAAGTATTTTTTAAGCTTAACAGGATGCCTTTAAAAGTACCCTTTACCTTTTTGACACACTAGGTATATGCTATCGTTACCAACTACAATCCATCAGCAGAGGGAGGCAGAAAGGATTTATGCAAAGTATCTTAGAAACCCAAATGCTAGTGCTGAGACTAAACCCTATTTGGTAAACTAAAATTATGAAACATTTTTTTTTTGAGTGCTAAGGGGAAAAAGAAAATAGTAAATAACATAATGTGTGCTAGTACACACTTGTAATATTAGTACACAGGAGAATGAGGCAAAAGCTGAGGGGTAAAAGCCATCCATGGTTATACTGAGTATGAGGCCACAGCAAGGGCTTACATAAACAAAACACACAACAAAAACAAACTAAAGGAGAAGATACACATTCTCTTTTTTTTCCCTGTCCTTTCCTGAGAAGGCAGTATAATAACTGAGTCTTTAGAATATTGCTCTATCTTACCTGTTCTTTCTTCTAATTTAGCATACTTTGGAGTATTACACATGTTACATTCTGATCTTCTGGCCCAATTCACATTACTGCAACTACAATTGTAAAAAACAAGAAATCAGAAGATCCCCAAACATTGAAAAAATGTTACTCAAAAATTTGCAATGAAAAATTAGTACAAAGCAATGTTCATTAAGTAATCATGTTAAAAACAAACAAACAAACAAACAAACAAACAAGGGAACAAAACATTGTTCTAAAGAACATATATTCCCAGAACAGACACACCTATGCACGCAGAGAACAAAATCTACTCAATGTAAATAATACTTTGGGAAGTGACATAACTAGAAGTTCTGCTCCTCAGGGGGAAAACATAGCATTTTAATTAAAAGTTCTACTACTTGTCATCTCTGAATCTGCCTTAGAGAGTAAGGTCTCACCTCCAAACATGCTTGCTGTTTAGTGCCCTCTAAGAAATCCTCTGCAGTACACTAAATCCTGTAACTTACGTTTGTTCCAGATGGGTTTTCTGTACAGAGTCAAGGTCTACTATAGGACCAGGACTTTACCTAAGACGACTTTCTGATCCAGTGCTCTTTCATATACGTAGGACTTTTTTTTTTACATAGCACAAAATGTGGAGATTGGGAAAATCATTACAAAATGAAATATAAACTTAAAAGGCAATAAGATTAAGAAATCTAACGTGAAACACTTTTTTTATGGAACACAACTTAGGGTTTCAAAGTTACTTTCTTATAATAAGAGACAAAACAAAACAATCCCACAGCAAAATTACGCAATTATTTAGTAACAAGAAGTAGACTGCAGGACCTTCAATGTCCCCATCTCTTGGTTATCAGCTCATAAACATCACAGCAACAACTGGTAATGATAAAACTTACAATTTCCATTTCACTATACTTAGACTAAGGCCAATAAATGTTTGGCTTAAAAGGGCGTATAACATCTTGTCACGTAAGAAAGAGTTCACCATCTTGCTGAGTGGTGATGGAAACAGTTTTGTTGCAGTAACACACAGCAATCTGAAGCACATACGTTTTGCATTGCCAGTCATTCGCACTAAATAAGCCCCGGCTCTTCTCTGCCAGCGTCTTTCCTATTTCTGTTCCCCCAGCTTTCATCATCTTGGCCTCAGTGGTCTTCTCTGAAAACAGACAAATTGTGCAACTTAAATCCTGGGAAGAAATGGTCTGCATACACAGCAGGAAAGAACCACCCTGAACACTCACCCCGGCCACATCTGTTACAGCTGGTTCTCCTAGCGAAGTTTACATTTCCACACCTGAAAACAAAACGAGAAGCACTTAAAGTAGTGTTCTAGATATCTAAAATGTTTACATTTTACACTGTCTTCACTTCACTCTGGAACACAGAACAGGCTTACCTCATGTTAACACCAGTTATCAGCAGGGAGAAACAAGAGCCAGGTAAAAATCTAAACCTTGTTTTTACAGCTATGGTAACCATTTCGGTAGCTGAACCTTGCTATCTTCAGATTAGCATATATCACTAGTTACATTAAATTCCCTTGTTCCAAAGTGTCATCAGATTTCCAACAATTAGACAAGATATCAGAGATTAAAACAAACAAACAACCCACCAAATTAATTTTCAGGACAAGTTAATAAATTTGAGTTTTAGAAGAAGCACAAAAATCAAAGCTGGTTGGTGGTGGCACACACCTTTAATTCCAGCATGGGGAGGCAGAGGCAGGCAGATTTCTGTGAATTCCTGGACAACAACGGCTACACATGGAAGCTCTGTCTAGAAAAACAAAACAAAACAAACAACCCCAAACAAAACCAAAAAAACAACTCATCTCCTTCCAAATCAAGGGATAGATCCACCAGGCAAGAACAAGTACTGAAGGACTCCAAAGAACTGATGAAATGCTCTTTTAGAGGAAGGAAGTGGGGTGGTAACAATGCTTAAATAAAAAACGAAAAAAACGCCACCACCGATTAAAAAAATTGACTGAGGTAAAGAACTGAAAGGCAGTGTAACGACTCCATACAACTTGCTTTTCGTGTATATATATACATACATACATATATATATATATATATATATGTATATATACACACATACGATCCAAGCAACTCTGAAAATATATTCCTAAAAACGGTCTCCTTGACTTATATATTCAGTAGAAATAACATTGTTTCTGCCGAGTTTAGGTGTTCAGGACCAGGAAAGAAGAGTCCTTCCAAAATATCTGGGTGTTTTTAGTAGGAACAGAGCACATTTCTTAATCTCTGGCCAGTTCCAAAGTGTCACAGTTCCCTGCAGTGACAGCCCAAGAGGGCCTCGCTAGTGCTCCGCTGACTTAGTGTGCTGGAGTCTGGTAACACCGACCGACCCAGGCGGTTACCAACCGAGTGAATAGGAGCGGCATCATTTCCTTGCTCTCCACACGCTGTGCCATTTCGGTGTTAACTGTAAGCAAACAATTATTTCCTAGCAAAGACATTCCAAGTTAGGCGCTCTGCGGGAAACAGAACTGGCAGCAGACCCGGGCTTCCTCCAGCCAGCTTTGGCTCTGGCTCTCTAAGAACGCGAGCTAGTGCATCACGGTTTCTTTTCTTCTAAACAGGGACACCCATTCAGTGCGATCTCCGTGGCCACCAGCCGAGCACACCGGCTTCCCCGCCACGTCCGCGCCCGGGCTTCCTGCCTCCCGGCAGCAGGGTGCGAAAAGCCAAGTCACTGGGGAGGGTCAGCAGGCCTGGAAGGCCCGGGGCCGCGGGGAGGGGACGCAGGTCTCGGCGAGCGGCCGCCGCAGCGCTCCGAGCCGGGCCACCGAGCCGAGCGCCGAGCTCCGAGCTCCGCGCGGGGTCACGTGCAGGCCGCCCGCGACCGCTCAAGGCCGGCGGCGACCGCCCCGCCGTCCCCACCAAGGCCGCGGCCCCGTCGCCGCCGTCCCGAGGGCCGCCCCGCGCCCCCGGCCCCCCGCCGCCCCGCTGTGCTCACTTCTTGTCAGGGCAGATCCAGTCCCCGTCACTGACTCGGAAATTCTTGGTCGACATCTTGGACGCCAGCAGCACGGCCGCCCGCAGCGACGTCCCCCACCGGAGCCGCGGGGCCTCGCGCCGGGCTGTCCGCGAGCCGCCGGACCCGCCCTCCGCTGGGGGTGGGGTGGGGGGGGTCTCAGGCCTTCCGACCGCGAGCCCGGAGCCGCCGTGCGGAGACGACGTCCGAAAACCGGTCGTCCGACCTGAGGGTCTGCCCCGATGCGACCTTACCGCGTTTCCGAGCAGGCGCCGTGCGGACACCCCGGCCCGGCGGCCATCATGGCGCCGCAGGCGCTGCAGAGCCCCCCGCGGACTGAAGGACCCCAGAGACCTGAACTTCCGTTTCCGGGGCGGGGCAAGAGGCACGGAGGCGGAAGTGACTCCGCAGGACTCGGAAGCATGGGCTTCCGTGTTGCCTAGGGTTCACTGGGGCGAGTGAAAAGGTGGGCGGTTCTAGTCTTTGGAGATTTTATTTTGATTGTTTTGGGCAGAGTCTGAGGCTTAGCCCAGGTTGTCCCGGACTTGACTGTTTCGTCCAGACCGACTTCGAACCTCTGTCAGGTTTTAGTAGGTTACACGAAAACAGCAGACATTTCCCTGTGAGAAAACAGGGTCTCACATTTGGCTCCAGTTGGCTTAGAAATCCTTGTGTAGCCACGCTGCTTAATATTTGGATGGAAAGGTCATACTAATGAAAGAAGACAATTCACCTTTTTGGAATGTTGTTTAAAAACGTAGCTTTAAAAATGTATGTGTAAGAGTTAAGCCCTGTACTCCAGGGAACATCCAAAGGTTTTAGAAATAGGACATTGTCAGTATTGATACAATTACTGGTGTCTTATGATTCCAGTTCACTGCCTTTCCGAAGATTTAACGCTGACACTTTGAGTTTATAAGATTTAGCTCATGTACTGCATACTTATTTTTTAAAGTGAGAAATAGGGATAATTTGTTATTGTAGACGAGTTGTTTTCAGTTCAGCTTCATTTCTGAGTTTGCAGGTAATTCCATGTCGCTCACCTTTATATCAGTTACACATATGGTTAATAATTCCTGTGACAGTTGAACATTAAATCTTGCACTTTGTCACAACACCCATGCAAACATTCTAAGAGTTAATCCTCATGCTGAGTTTTGTCATTGTGATCAATATGTAAGTGAACATTCTTGCACACAGGTTCTTGCATATACGTGAGAAACGTTTTCTAGCATATGACATATCCAGGAGAAAAATTGTTAAGCTATATTTTGGTTTTAATATCTAACACTTTAAAAATTATAACATCTTGGTCATCTCATTTGGAAGCTCTTGTTTGTATTTTACTTTGAGATAGTTGTCCATGCCTTCCCAGTTATTTTGTATCCTATAATCATTAATGTTTCCCTGGATTTTTATCTTGGATAATGTGCAATTTTTATTTTCTTTTAGCAAGGAATCCTTGGGTTGGCATCACAGGCTCAGTCTTGCGTGTGAGTACTGGTTCTATATCAGTTAGCTCCTGACTATTTGCTGTGCTTTAAAATAAATTGTATATGGGTGTTTTATCTGCATGTACCTTTGTGCACCACATGCATACTGGGTGCCCTTAGAGGCCAGGAGAAGGTGTGGATCCCCTGGAACTGGAGTCACAGATGGTTGTGAGCTACTGTGTGGGTGCTGGGAATTGTTCCAAGGACCTCCAGAATAGCAGTCACTGAGTGCTTCTAACCACTAGAGCCCACTCTCCAGCCCCAGCTGTGCTGTCTTGAGTCTGTCCTATAGATTAAACACTTGGATTGTTTTGGTACCTTAGCAGTACTTTTAATTATAGTTCATTACATGAATTATTTCCATTCTGCTTTGATTTGTTTTGTACATACTGAGTTGATAAGTAAGCGCAGAACTTGTGTGGGTTCATACTAGATTTGGAGGACATGTGTCTCCATCCATTTTTTTTTTTCAGATTCTTCTCACATACTCTACTATCTTGCAGTGTTCCTTTTCTTGGTTCTTTTTTGAGAAATATGAAGTTTCCCTTGGAGCTTTATCAGCTTGTCATAGCTATAGGATTTGACTAGGGCCCTAACATAAGGTGAAGTGGTGAGGGAAAAGAGACTTCCTTTCCTTGTCATTATATGGAAGTACAGTTTCTCTAATATTCTCATTCTGGTTGGGAGGGAGCAGTGATAAGTATTTTCTCACAAACTGATAGCTCACAGATGTCCTTTTCCTCAATTCTTATGGCTAGAAACCTTTTTAAAAATTAATTGAATTATTACTAATTGTGATGTTACTTTAGATTTACCACTGCCCTTCCAGCTACAAGAGATAATAGCAAAACAAAATGAAACAACCATCAACAAACCTACACCACTAAGCTTTGACTCTCTGCTGCAGTTTGCCTATAGATAAGGGTGTGTTTTATCCAAGTTTTCCTTGTGGTCAACATGAAAGAGAAGCAGTAATGAACCTGCTGCCATCCTCTGTTGCTGCAAGTTAGGGAAGTGCAAATTAACACCAAAATGGGATGCTACTGCCTGTTCATCAGAGTGAACAAAGAGAAGCTCAGACAACCGGAAGTCCACATCAGTTGCAGGCAGTATGTCCTCAGCTTCACATGGTTTGACTTAACATGTTGCAACTGTGATACCCAGGAGACTTCATAGTTTGTATTGTGAACTTTTCTAAGTCAAGTGATATCTGGTTTATGTGAGATTCTGGATAGTAACAGTGAGCTATCATGAAGGTGAAGGACTTATACTCTACAGAGTCAGAAAGCTATTATGCTCAGTCAGTTCAGTATATTTTTTGATTGGTAATTTTGTCCTGTCTCCTGGGTATACTTAACCTATCATGGTGAAATATTCAGGATGAATTATCCATGCAAGTTACTTTTTTTATATGAAGCTATATTTATAGATTGATAAGTTATCATGCAGACAAGAAAATCTTGGTCTCTAAGAGGTTAATGAGGTATTGCCAGTATATTTGAGTTTTTAAACTTACATATTAAAAAAAAAATCTGTCTTGTAACTCTACAAGGAGAACAATAGAGCGAAAATACCTGGGCCCAGTGGGTCCTGCAGAGACTGATACTCCAACTAAGGACCATGCATGGAGAGGACCTAGACCCCCTGTTCAAAGGAAGCCCATTGGCTGCTCAGTTTCCAAGTGGGTGTCCGAGTAAGGGGTACAGGGCCTGTCTCTGACATGAACTCAGTGGCTGGCTCTTTGATCACCTCCCCCTGGGGGGTGCAGCCTTACCAGGCCACACAGGAAGGTCCTCCCCTATTAGGGGACTAGGGAAAGGGCAACTGGGGAGAAGAGGGAGAGTGGGTGGGACAGGGAGGAGACAAGGGAAGGGGCTACAGCAGGGGTACAAAGTAAATAAATTGTAATAAATAAATATATAAATAAAAATATATTAAAAATCAGAATATCAAAGATTAAAAAAAATCTTTGTTTAGCCACTCTGTTAGAGCTCTCTGTACTTGCAAAGAACTAACATTAAAATATATACTTTAAACCCTCCCACTAAAGCCAAACCAAAACAGACAAAAGAGGAGAGTGGGACGTATACTATGAAGAGAAGCCTCATGGAATGCTGGGTAGGAGCACACTTAGGTCTGGAAAGGGGGCTAAAAGAAGCTTCTGTGCTTCAGTAGTACACTGTCACTTAAGAACAACTGCCTACATCCTTAGTTTGCAAGACAGTCAGAGGCTATAGGACCATGCTTAGACCTGAGCAAGCAGGCTCTTAATCTGGTCTGGCTCAGCTGTGTTTAGGAAACCTTTGTAGACATCACAGTCTCTTGGGCTATTCCAAACCTGGTCCTGTGTGGGTCCTATGCGATAGAAACCCTGGGATGTTTTATTGATCCCTGATGTTAATGATGGGACACTTAGGTTTTGAGGTTCTCAGGATGTTCTCTTGCTGCATTTGATGTCCCATAAAAGCTCTAAGGTTGGCTTCTGTGAGATGAGCTGTGCTGCATGGCCATGCCAGTCTCTGGAGGGAGGCTTGGTTAAAGTTCCCACTGACCAGGACAATATATTTTTAAATGGGATCATACGAGTTTGAACCATTGAAGTGGTATTGACAACTGATTAAAAGGTGATTTGTGATAGCCCATGATGGCTTCAGGGTTCTGGCCTGCCCACTCTACACTGCTGATCGTTGGAGAAATCACCTTTGTGTAGTTGTGTGTATATGCTCGCTCTCCTTTCTCCAGGTACAAATAGTTACAAGTTCCTTCGGTTTTCTTTGCCATCCTGGGCTCCAAATAGTATATTGGGTAGAATTGTTACAGCTGCTCTTGTCTCTTCCCAGGGCTTTTTCCATGGGAGTGCCAAGCCAGCTTTCCATTTCCAGCCATGTCTTTTCTTGCTTTTAATTGATGCAGCATCACCCTGCTCTCTGAGTGGTTGAAAGTCTTGTTTAAATGATGGGCATTGCTTACCCTAATAAGAGACTGCTTTATGATCTGCCCAGGGCTCCTCACTTGTCCTTACTGCTGGTAACAATGGGGAGAAGTAGGTTCCAAGTTGGCATTGCAGTGTTCAAATTCCAGAGTTGCATGAGTAAGGCCAAGAAGGGTCAGAAGAAGCTGTGGATAGAATATGGGTTGCCTTGTAAATGCTGCTCATTCTATAAATGCTACCATATACCAATAATTATTTGTTTTTGTGTAACATAACATAACATAACATAACATAACATAACATAACATAACATAACATAACATAACATAACCACATAACAACACAACGTAACTTGCTTTTTGGCTAATACTTGTGTTTGGGTCTTTTTCCACAAACACACTGAAAGTGTTTTGAGGGCCATTGGAAATCAGCTCACAGACTGCACAGTGGATGTTGTGGGATATGAATAGTGACACAGTAGGCCCTGACTAGATGGTATCAGAGAGCCAGAGGCAAAACATACAACTAAAAAAGACTGCAGAGAGTATGTCACCATGAATAGCAGTGCCACAACCTTTTCTTTACAGTGAGATCTATGAGACTTACCAGGAATGGCATTTGTGACAAAAATGCAAACAGGTAAAATTTTTTCTTATGCACCAACTGGATGATAAATAGCCATGTAGCATACTTTCCTTACCCCAACTATTTATCAATAAGTTACTACACCTCAGTGGACCCATAACTTATAATTACTTTTACAATCAAATTGTTGCTAGAGAGAGATCCTCCCTAGTCACCTCTAAATGTTTTGGATATCCTCAAAACATTGTTGGGTAATATGCTTCTGCTAAGCACTCTACACTCTGTTTTCTGCAGACCCCATTGTAATATCTTAGCTTTAACTTTATATTCCCAAAGGTTCTAGTGTGCTGGTGCATTTGCTACTCAGTTGGTTATGTCAGGTATAGAGCCATGATGGCTGCTAGGAGGTGCCATGTGGGAAAATCACAAAGGAAGAAGTAGCTTGTTTGTTTGTTTGGTTGGTTTATTTTTTGTGCTGACTAGCAATTTAACACAAAATTAGCAGCACAAACAACACATTTATAATCTCCCAGCTTGTGTGGCTGAGGCTGGGAAGGGTCTCACCATGCAGATATCAAGGTGTAGATTTCTATTTGCAATCCCAAGTAAGCTTGGAGTCTTCTGAGCTAGTCTGCTTGCTGGTTGTACAGAGCTCACTCCTTGAGTACTGAGGTCATCATTTTCTTCACAGATGTTGGCCAGGGCTTTCTCACAGCTCCTGGAACGGACCTCAGACATGCATCACGTGGCCCTCTGAAAACATGGAGCTTATTGCTCCGAAGCCAACAGGAGAGCTTCTTCCAATCCTGCTGCTGCTGCTCTTACAGCTGCTTACAACAGCTATTATTGTTGCTAGAGTCTTATATTCAATGTGAAACCATAGTTGAAATGATCCCACCACTTTTGCTGTATCACATAAATAAAAGGAGGGAAATCCCATTAGACTCCCAAGCCCTGTCTGTACTCAGGGAGAGGTTATAATCCAGTGGTTCAGGAATCTTAGAGTGATTTTTAGGTCTTGTCAACCCTGGCTCTTGAATGGGTAACTGACAACAGGTGAAATCTTTCTTAACCAATTTTTCACTTTTTTTTCTTTGACATTCTCTTGAGAACAGCCACTAGTTTATTATTGTGCATAGAAAGTGTGAATCTACAAGGACACCTATGTCTCAAGATACACCTGGGAGCATATTGTTTCACACAGAGTTTTCTTTATAATTTAAAATAAATGCACTGTGAAAATGATCAAACTGTGTATTTGGTATAATTTATAATTGACATTTCTGGAAGTCATTGGATAGGACATAGGAATGCACACACACATATGCACTTCATAACTCTTCAATGTAACTGCTCTTTCTCATTTCGTAGGAATCATTGGTGGAATTTATTTGCCACCTGGTGTTTCAGAGTCCTTTATAAATTAATTATAGTCTTTACTAGCCATGTGGAGGTAGAGAAATCTAATTAGGTCAAGGAGGCTGGCCCTGCTGGAGACTGAAACACAAAGCTGGGATAAGGTGTCAGCTGCAGATCCCTGTTGTGCTTCTTGAGTATATGGGCAGGGGTAGTGGAACAACAGGAAGGATACATAAAAATTTACAGTAAAATCAGAATTTTGATGAAAATGATTGAGGTTGTCCATCATAAATGAATGAACAGACAGACAAAAATCTTTTAGCTAACAAAGGCCTTCTCAGGTATTTCGTTACTGTGAAAGAACTGGGTGGGAGATGCTGAAAGCACAGCCCTCCATGGACTCTCAGTCAGTAAATGCAGAGCTGACTGCTCTAGGTAAAGATAACTGTACCAGTCTCCTGTAGGTGCACAGAGGTGTAAACACAGCTGTGTAAGTATGACAAGCTGGATTTTAGGCAGATTTGGGGGTAGGGAATGTAAGTGCATTGATGTTAATTCACCACAAGTGTCAGAAGTTGATTAAATAAACTTTATCCTTAATGGGTTGGGAAATGAATGAGGTCACCAAGGACACAGAGTAGATATGAGTGTCAGGCACTGAGCTTGGAGATGTTGTCTGACAGTGACTCTCCATGATTGCTGAGTCCTTTCCCACCCCAGTCACCATATCCTGTAATACTTTCCATATTCTCCTTAAATAAATAGATAAATAAATAGTTTTATAAAGGACCTTTGAGAAAACCCATTCACACTGATGTAAATAATCTAGCTTAACATTTACATTTCTATAAGGAGGTTATTTTATTTACCAGAATTAAAATCTTAAAATCAGGGGTCAAAAACCTCAAATTTGCTGGGGCCAGGCAGTGGCATAAATGAATGACTGAAGGCCAGAGTAAGACATTAGGGAATGAGAGAGACTGTGGCAAACTAGTTGAAGACATGAAAACCTGAAAATAAATGCTGTTTTGGCCAAAGAAAAGGTACTACATCTGGCCAGAAGCTGTTCCCGCTTCCCGCCTTTAAAGTCCTTTTGTTTAGAATTTTGTAGTAGAGTTTAGCAGAGAAATGGATCTAAGAACAGGAGCCGGTGGGAAAGCCTGTATGTACAAAATACTCTTCCTTCACCGGAGTCTATTGGGGTGGTCCTGGCCAGCATTCCTTTGGCTAACTGTCTCATAGGTCGCACCATTTGGCCTGCCTTTTCCTGGTCTATCACTGTGTAGTCCAAGCAGTGGAACAGTTGGAGACTTTTACAGCCAGAAACTAGAGGCAAATAGATGAACTGTAGGAGTTTCACCATTAGGACGTTTCAGCTTCTTGTCCAATATGGGAGCAGTGTGGTCAGCTTCCACTGGGACCATGACTGTTCTAGCACATCCTATGCCAGGTGGTTCACACTTCTTTAGCCTCAGGCACAGGTTTGGATTCCTGTCCTAAGCAACAGTCAGAAGATCTAGTCTCCTGATGAGAAAGAAGAAAACTAGCTGCCTTTGGGGTATTCACTTCCTTTCCTGGAAGGGAAAGAAAAGCAAGCTGGCAGCCTAATTAAACCTGCTGGTCAACAGAAAACCCTGCTACGTGGAAGGATAGTTTTTGTTTGTTTGTTTAAGGAAGGATTTTTTTTTGTAATTATAGTTGGTATTAATTACAAATCACAAAGTAACTGGAGTTTTTTTCTCTGCCAAACTTGGCTCTCAAGCTCATGTAAGTAGAGATTTGATTTTCATAGCAGCCTTAGGAAAGAAGGATTGTTATTCTCCTTTTCAAGATGAAGGAATCCAGGTTCAGGAAAAGATTTATACAGCTGGAATGCAATAAGAGACATGTTCTCAACATGTAACTCAGACCCAGTGCTCTGTAATAATGCTGGACTGCTGTTCGACAGTTATAACCTGTATCTTCTTTGGTGTCCTTGACCCCTCAGGCTCCTCCAGTCCTTCCTCTCACTCTTCCACAAGACTCCCTGAGCTTGGCCGATTGTTTGTCTGTAGGTCTCTGCATCTGTTTCCATCAGCTGATGGATGAATCCACTCAGAAGACAGGTATGCTAACCTCCTGTCGGCAAGCATAGCAGAGTATCATTAATAGTGTCAGGGGTTGGTTCTCTCCTGTGGAGTGAGTCTCAAGTTGGGCCAGTCATTGGTTTGCCATTCCCTCAAGCTCTCCTTCATTTTTATCGCTACACTTCTTGTAGGCAAGACAAAGTTTGGGTCAAAGGCTTTATGGGTGGGTTGATGTCCCTCTCCCTCCACTGGAAGTCCCACCTGGCTACGGGTGGCGAGTATGGGAGTGAATCCTCCACTTCTAGGATTCTCAGCTAGGGTCACCCCCATAGACTCTAGGGAGCTTCCACTGTCCCAGAGATGCTTTTGCACATATTTCCATTCTCTCTCCTTCTCCCTTTCCCTGCTCTCCCCACACCTGATTACCACCCGTTGCCCTCCTCTTCGTGCCACCCACACATTCCCTCCATCTACTTCAGATGTCTATTTTATTTCCTCGTTTGAGTGAGATTCAAGGATCCTCCCTTGGGCTCTCCTTGGCCTCTTTAGATCTGTGGACTATAGCACGGTTAACTTGCACATTATGGCTAATGGCCACTTACTTTACCTTTCTGGGTCTGAGTTACCTCACTCAGGATGATCTTTTCTAGTTCCATTCATTTGTCTCTAAATTGCATGACTTTTTTTTTTAAATGCTAAAGTCTTCCAGAAGGATTTCCCTGGGGCAAGGGTTAGTTCTAGTAAGTTTGAAATCTGTTTTCTTATGCAACATGGCTTCCCTGGAGGATGTTATGGAATGTTACTCCATTGTACAATTCTGAGGAGTAAAATGGAGATGTATCAGAAATCACATGCCCCCACTTTGTGAAATAGCATGCAAAACTTCTTAGAAAACTTGTACATTAGCATAGATCATAGAAATATAGGACCTAGAAGCACCTGCATTTTCCAGAACTTTCTCTGCTCTGTCTTTGTTTCTTGACTGCCTGCACTCCTGAAATGATTAGTGAAGTTTGAGGCTATCGTTGATTTTGTAGGACTGGTTTGAAGGCTAATCCATGAAATATCAGTCATAATGTAGCATTCCCTAGAATTTAATTAGGGACACTGGGAGAGTTCTGTCTTCAGTGGAGTTCCAAAACTGATGTATAGGAATGTGAAACCTACTTTATAGAGAGTTTACCCATGGAAGTTATGCAGAAATTCTAAGAGCTGACAGATTAAATCGAGAGATAGGAGTAGGAAGGGGAAGGAGAGAGAGAAGTTGGAATACAAATTTCTGAATTTAGTTTTGCATAAGTCACGCCTGTATATTGGATGTTCTAGTCACATGAACCAAGTTAGGGCATTTTCTTTTGTCTTAAATGCAATTGCACAGGATTTTGTAAGTTGGAACCACAAATTCTGATTAATAGCATTTTGTAGTGGCTGCATTGGGAGGGTCTGAGCACTCAGGACTCAGTAGCCTAATAGGCAGGAATGGTTCTCAGTGGTGACTTTGATTTGAGGAATATACATATTGCAAGTCTTTCTTGAAACAGTCAACACATATCATATCTAATTCACATATACCTATTACTAAATTTTAAATAAGATTACAGGCATTATGGTAATATTTTAAGCATCTTACTCTATCTACTTAGGAAGGAATATTCTGCCTTATTCTCTTGCTAATGTTACCTAATGTGAATTCATCTGGGGCTGTGTAACCAGGTAACATAAGGAGTTTAATAAAATTGGTTTTGATTTAGGAAGCAAAACTCTAATATTTTATTTTTATTTATTTATGTGTACTTTTTTAGTTCTACATAGACCTGTAATAAATGAGGATAATGATAATATCCACTTCCTAATGTGGTTTGAGGTTTAGTTGCTGAGGTCCTCCTAAAGTAATAAAGGCAGCAGCAGATGGACAGCATGCAGCGAATAAACCTGAGCTGTCATTACTGCTCTGAACCTCAACAAGTGCCAGTGGTGAAAGTGATTGTGTCTGTGTGTCCAGGCTGCAGTGCAGATAAGATGTGAGAGTACTCATGAAAGTAGCTAGTGAGTGGTGGGTATGTGATCAGGGCCAGCCTTCTTTCCCATTCTTGTAATTCAGGGGACAATTTACAATCTCACAATGCCTTGGGGCAGTGTGTGGCTACAGGACAGAGAAGATCAGGTGGAATTTCACCAGTGGTACATGTTAAACATTGTTCATTACACAAATACCATTAAATGGATTGATTTAATGTCTGGTTTTCTTCTAAGAGCAGTTTGGTCATGAAATACCCAATACTTCTTATTCTTTAGATTCTGGTCACAGATATGGTGGTTTACTCTCTACAAAGAAAGATAGAGAAACAGGTTATTATTTCAAGTTTTGAGGGGGGAAACCTGGCCCACAGTCTGCAGGAGCTGCTGTCAAAATCACAGGGTGGACAAGGAGCTCAGGAGTTCATTCTTTCTATTTTACTTCCACAATTTATACCTGAAGCACTCTAATGGGCATACCGTTTGGAGCCAGCTGGCACTCTGCAAGGTGCAAGCCTTGTTGAGCCTGTTCTTGTCTCCAACTGACTTGTCTTCATGGCTCTGTTGGTCAAAGTATTTTTTTAAGACTGAATAAGTCTTTTATAAAATAGAGTTATCTGAGACAAAATGAAATGAATCACTTGTGTGTTAGAGTTTACAGAGAAGAGAAAATGAAAAATAGATCAATAATAATGTGAAGTCAGTGTGACCCATGTTTTTCCAAGTTTGATGGAAGATATAAAAGTAAAAA